ACATAGCTCTTCAATTTTCCTAGATACCTTTCTGGGAAATACATCCAGCGAAATAATACCGGGCCGCCAAATTTTATCTCATTCACTAGATGTATGGACAAATGAACCATAATATCAAAGAAACTTGGTGGGAAAATCATTTCAAGTTGACAAAGTGTTTCTGTGATCTCTGATTGCAGAATATCCAAGTCATTCACTTCAATAACCTTCTGACATAAACAACGAAAGAATGAACAAAGACGGATTAAAGGTTGGGCAACTTGATTTGACATAGTACTCCTCACAGCTACTTGAAGCAAGTAATGCATCATAAAATGTGCATCATGAGTCTTGTAGCCAGCAACCTTTCTATCATCAACTTGAACACATCTTGAAATGTTAGAAGCACAACCATCTGGTATTTTAGCCTCCTTTAAAACTCTACAAAAGGTAGTCTTCTCATTGGCGGTCATAGAAAAACATGCAGGTGCAAGCTTGAGACTTTTTCCTTCATCTATCAGTTCTGGTTGAAGATTCTTTCTAATACCCATGTGTAGTAAGTCAAAACGAGCCTTTGCATGATCTTTGGTCTTTTTTGGGATATCTAACAACGTGCCAATTATATTATCAAAAATATTTTTTTCAATATGCATTACATCAAGATTATGACGTAAAATATTGTGCTTCCAATATGATAACTCAAAAAAAATAGATCTTTTTTTCCATGGACCACCAGGATGCTTCTTTGTTTTTCGCTTCTTTTGTGTCTTACCAAAGATATTTCTGAAGTTCTTTAATGATTTTAAAATATCTTCTCCTTCCAACAAAGCTGGTGGAGGTCTATATTCTGCCCTCCCATTAAAGTCCCTCACATTTGATCTATATTTATGATCCATGGGCAGAAAAACACGATGATCCATGTAACACATCTTTTTACTATACTTTAGATAAGTAGAATTTGTGTTGTAATTGCAGCAAGGACATGCTAGTTTTCCTTTTGTACTCCATCCACTCAACATAGCATAGCCTGGAAAATCACTCATAGTCCATAGGAGAGCTGCCCTCATTCGAAATGACTGATTTAGGGAAGCATCATAGGTTTCTACTCCTAAATCCCACAAAACTTTCAATTCTTCGACCAACGGTTGGAGGTACACATCAATATTATTTCCAGGTGATTGTGGTCCAGGAATTAGTAGTGAAAGAATGGCATGATCAGCCTGCATACACGACCAAGGAGGAAAATTATATGGTAGTATTACCACTGGCCAAATACTATGAGATAGACTCATGGTTCGAAATGGATTGAATCCATCACTGGCTAAACCAAGTCTGATGTTACGTGAATCCAATGAAAAATCTGAATGACGTTTATCAAAGTCTCTCCATGCCTCCCCATCAGCAGGATGCCTTAATTTGCCATCTTTTAGACGTTCTTCTTCATGCCACCTTAATGAGCTAGCTGTTTTTGAACACATGAACAACCTTTGCAGTCTAGGAATCAAGGGAAAGTGCCTCAAAATTTTAGCAGGAACTTTGTGAGCTTTAATATTATCTTGATCATTGCCTTCTTCATTTTCAATCCACCGTGGAGCACCACAAACATGGCAGCATGTGTCTTTCTCATGTTCTTTCCAATAGAGCATGCAATCATTAGGACAAGCATCGATCTTCTTATAATCGAACCCTAACTCCCTTATCATTCCTTTAGTTTTAGTTATAGTATCAGGAATGTTCAAGTGAGGCATAGCTTCTTTCAGTAATTCTAAGAGAGCGTTGAATGACACATTGCTCCAACCGTAAAGGCACTTCAACAAATACAATCGGATAGTGAATGATAGTTTTAGTTTTTGCAGCCCGGAAACAACTCTTGCTTGGAATCTTCTATTAGACTATAGAACTTTTTAGCATCACCATTGAGGCATCCAGTAGCTTCATATTGTTCTTCTGTCTCACCCTTAAATCTGTCATTCAACAGTCCATCAATATCATCCATTTCTTTATCTTCACCATCAATATAACTACCAACTTTCTCGGGGTTCATTGGATCCTCGCCATGGCGAACCCAAACATTATATCCTTTTTCAAATCCGTATGTCACTAAATGATCAAAAACTGTTGCTCTTGTCATCCATAAAGCATTATGACATTTAATGCATGGACACAAAATTTCTTTTCCTTGGGGCTTTCCTCTCCTATATGCATAAGTTAGAAAAAACTCAACGCCGTTAATGTATTCAGGACTATATCTTGCCAGTTTCATCCATTCCTTGTCCATTGAGTGTACTAGAAAAATCATAAATAGCACGGGTGAACACTAAAATCAAGAACAACTTAATAACTATTATCCTAAAATCATAAGCCTGGGATGCATATGACAGGTTGATCATGCAAAGCAATTCCAAACACAAGATAAACAATATCAATCTAATTTGATATTGTTTATCTTGGCTAGAATCTAACAATGGGAGAAGAAGTTGATTCAATAAAGTTATGGTCAAGAATTACATATTATATTAGATTATTCTAATTTTGCTAGAAGTATTGAATAAAACTGCTGCACGTACTACTAATCTAGTTGGTCTGAAATTTTAATGTTTTCTCATCTTGGCTAATTTGAGTTCATTAAGTTAAACAATGATTAAGTAAGCATCACTCAATAAGACTCATTGTTGTCATAATCACTGCAGATACTATATTGAGTGAAGTTGTCAATTTTAGAAATTAAGAGCATTGGTTGAAAATACATCTAAGAACTTTAACCCTATTAAGGATTAGAATTCACATATAAAACTTTTATTTCAAAATCAGGAATAAGAATTCTAACATGGAATCTAACCACAACACTCCAAAAACACGATCTTCTTTTCAAAACCATTGATAGATGATTCACTTAGAACACATGGCACTTAATTTTGTTGCTTACCCATCTTAACAATTTCAGCCATTAATATTTGTCCAGATGAAATTTGTGGAGCTGCTGGAACAACATAGTGGCCATATCAACCTAGTTGAACCATCTCATGTTTTAACTTTACATTAGTGTAAAGCAAAGTTGGAATAAAAGCAACTTACTTTTATTCTATTGAGCTTGTTCGAGCTGCTAGAAAGTGTATGAGTTTGAAAACAAAGAAATAAAACATTTAAAATATGTTATAAACGATTCAAATATCATATTGACGCCAATTATCAATTTATCATTGAAATGTTTTAACAAACACTTTTTTGGGCATAATTTATATCCAATCATAACTTGGTTAATATAGTGCAGGTCCTCCATCTTGAAGCTCTTTCAAATAGGTTCAGTGATTCACATATCACAATCCAATCAATGAATATTCATCCATGAATTTTAAATCATGGATTGACCTCATGATTTGAAGCACTACTGAAATGTTAAATGTAAACACTACTGAAACAACCATATGAAAAAGTAAAATTTGATAGATGTTTCCAAGTCTAAGAAACAAAGACCAATCGCAGGGAGCTGGAGATAAAGTTGTTCTGAACAACTATACTTGCAGCCTTGCTGGAAAAAAACATATGTATATAGTCAATGAATTTTTTTATGGGTACTTAAACAAACAATCTTCAAGTATTTATATACTTCAAAAAAATAATCCCAGCAGGCAGCCTATAGTATGATGTTATTCATTGAGAAGCTTTCTTCATATGGGTGGGAAGATTGTTTATACAATCTATTACTATCATATTATAAGCAAAAGGTAGAAACAGTTTTAAGAGCCTATTTATATTATTATAAGAGCATGTGATACTCATAAGATCCTATTTATATTATTATATACATACACAAGAAGTTTTAAGAAATATGTCCTTGCTTTTCTTTTCTTTGTAGTTTCCTGGTGCACAAGTGTGTTAAAATTTGGTGTAAGCTGTAAATCAATTTAAAAGATATACACTCCATACCTAGCACAAATGTGTATAGAGAAAGCTATACTATGAAAAACAATTATACAAATGATTCACAGAGCATAGTTAAAGAGTTCCAGACACATGGGGTTCACATAGCACATTTATGAACACATGGTTCGAGAGTTCACATAGCACAATTACGAACAAAGATGGTCTGCCTATTGGGAGAAAGAGAAATCAACTTCAGAATTGGACTGTTTAGAGCTTTACGTAGATATATATATAATGCGAACAGACCTTTACGAACTAAACATACTCGAATTTCTAATAAAAACGAAAAATCAACAAACTCCAATTTGTAAAAAAAAACTTACCTGGAAGACTAAACTTCAGAGCGAGAATGGTTGGTGTGCACTGGGGACGGTGAATTCGGCAACAATCTGTGAGGAAACAACGAGATGCAGATTGAGAAGCGATCTAATCGAGTGATCCATTGTAAACCTAGAAGAAGCGAAGCATTCCTCTTTTAATTTTTTGAACTTGCGCGTGATTTGTTTTGGTATAGGCAGGGCGGTTAACGAAAAAATAAAAGCCGGCTCAACAAATCATTCGCGCGGAAAAATGAAAAGAACCGGGTACGGTTTTGTTATAAAAAAAATTAACAGGATTAAATGGCAACAATATTTAAGTGTGGAAAACTAATTTTAAAAAAAAAAACCGTTGCCAACTACTCTTTGGGAACGGTATTATAGTGATGCATTTTAAAAAAAACAAAAAGTTATATACTTCGGCAACACTTTAAAAAAATGTAGCTTATGATAGCATTAAGCAACAATTTTATGAGTTTGAAAATAATTGGTGTTGCCATAGCCCAAAAATGTTGTAGTGTATCAAACATCACAATTATCATCAATGACCTCCGATCATTATGTTATATGCACATAAAAAATTTACTCAAATTGTATTATTTCAATAAGCTTGACATTTTTCAACGAGAAACTTAAGCCGTGACACAAGCTAGTAGTATATTATTAATTAATTGTATTGCTTTTAAGTAATCCTTGAATTGAATCCCTTAATTAGCTTGTAAAGTGATACGTTTTGTAGCTTGTAAAGTGATATGTATTATCCTCATTTATTCTCAACAGGATTGATTGCACATTTTGGAGCTGGGTATGGTTAAACCATCTAAAACTCCAATATTAATACTCCGACCTTGTATCGTTTACATTGATGGATCGAAAAGCATATTCTTGAAAATGATCATAAATGTCATCTGGTCCATTTTGGCAGGATATTTTTAATATTCCAGTTGGTTAGCATAATCACTTTCATACAAATGGTAAATGATTGGTGCTACTCTGATACATCTTCTGACAAACGGTGAGGCCGTTTGTACTAACTATAAAGTTTGAACATAATTATAGTGACTAATAGTTACTAAGTAATGTTTTTATCGAGTCAAATGCATAAGTGGTACCTTAACTAATAGTGTTGTTGCGCTTTGGTACCTTAACTCTTGAATGAATTGAATCATATCAGTACAATAACTATACATAAATATTTCAACTTGATATTTTATTCAAATTTGAGACCAAAAAAACCTTCATGGCGATCAAAATTTCATGTGTGGAGTAGAGTCACCCTATATGGCGATCATATGGACCAAAACAAATTTCATGATGATCATATGGAGAAAAATAAGGTGAAGTAGACTTTATGCATAGAATTCCAACCGCCATGTATAAGTTTTTGGTCGAAAAATTGAATAGTATTGCAAATTGAAACACGTATGTATAATTAAAGTACTATTTTGATGCATTTAAGGGTCAATGTGCCAAAATGCAACCATACAAATAATTAAGGTACCATTTTGTGTTTCACTCGTTCTTATCCATAACTTTTTGTAATAACAAGTAACCTTTTTGTTTAATTAACACAATTAGTTTGTATATGTAGTTGTATTATAGGTGGCATACTTGCAGTAGGTTCGAACTTGTTGGCCTGCGGCTCGATAATCTTTTTGTTCATTTGGTACGCGGAACGCACGTCTTGCAAACCTAACTATATATTTACCGGCGTAACTCTCGCTCTCTTCGGACTAATGTCTGGTGCTACTCATCGTTCTAAAGTAAGCGGTATCTATACATATTGTTAGTGTATATATAGTAAGTATCTATGTTCAATTATGCATATTCATGGAAATCGATTATATTAAACATGCATGCAGGCCAATGCTACTTATCTGAATTCGGGTTTCATGGGAGTCTATATCACATTCTTATGCTGGTCTGCAATCAAAAGGTATTAGTTTAAGTTTCGTGAAAATTGTAGCTTTAGGATGTTTTAATTGGATTGATTTTTTATCTGATCATGTATCTATCTATTTGTATTTGATCTGGTTTGGTCTGATCTAGTACATGTCTGTCAATATGTATTTTACAACCATCGTGGTCTGATTTAGTTTGGTTTGGAACTGAAACCAGTCCAATACAAACATCATTAGTCCCTTATTTTTGGTTGTGCCCCTATTTTGTCCTGCAACTTACTCATGTGTATATTTGGTCCTATAGTTAAAGAATTTGTCCATTAGAACTTTTTCATGCGAAAGTGTATTTTTAGGTGTAAGCTCTAATGTTGACAAGGTGTTTTTGCAGTAGACTTTTTCGGGAAATTGTACTTTCGAGTGAAAAAGTGTTTACTCTGGATAGACTTATTAGCACATGATCAAATATGCAAGTGACTAAAGTTAAATAATTTATAACCCACACAATCAAAAATTATGAGAATAAAATTGAAAACATCCCTTTAAGTTTATAATTACTACAATGCCCTTTTTATGTAATTAATTTAAGTTCTCGATTTCTCTTGTGTTCGTCCCAAAATTAAATTGTCACTTCTCTTTCTGGTTATATTAGAGGGGTAAAATACCGTCCTTGTCTGCAGTAGTGGTTGGTTAACATGTCTTTTGTTAGGAAGTTCAAGGCTTCAAATCCGTTATCAAGATGCTGTTTTGTATTGTATCCAGTACTTGGTTTCTTATACTCTCTTTATATGGGAAAAAACAATAATATGTATGGGATAGTTTGAATTAAAAAAAAAAAGAGGGGTAAAATACACTTTATTCTTATAGTACATAAAAAGTACTACCCCACACATGTTGAATTTTATAATATTCATATACTCTATTTTAAATGTATCTTATTTATTAATTGTTTATAGATTCAATTTTTGAAAAATATTGTTAAATTTTTCTCATTTCAAAATTTCAAAATATGAACTTGTAAATTTTTTATTCATAAGGAATGAAATATATTACTCCCTCCGTCCCATAAAGTTCTTCCCAGTTTGGCATGAAGTTGAGTTTATGAAAGTGAGAATATAGTGAGAATATATGATTGTGATTGACTAGGAAAAAAGTAAATGAGTCGTGAATGTTAGCCACACAAAACTTCCCAAAAGGGAAACGATAAGATTTTTTAGGACATCTGAAAAAAGTAATTAAGTGGTAAGAGTTTTATGGGATGGAGGGAGTAGTAAACAAATTTGTTATTTGTGTCTTTGTAAACGTATGTGAAAATGTTGTAACTGAAAGGAAACAGGGGGAGTATATCATATATTATTCCTTTGTCTTACAAAACTTAGCCAACGTAACTTTGAATTGTCATAGAATAATCCAGTCAAAATTGTGTGGTTAAGACTAAATAGAGAAATTTGATCACATTTTGTGGGACAGGGGCAGTAACTTTCTCTATCATTCTTTTGAGAAAGGACATACTTGAATGGGAGTGCAAGGGTTGCTTTTCTTGAATATCCTTAGATGCAAACTAGAAACTTTAGTGGCTGTATTGTATATGATTTGTGGTAGACTTTTTTAATCCATGGACTTCTAAAAAAGTCTATAGACTATTGAATCTTGATGGCCGGTTGATCAAATTTCCCCATATAGTAGGACTAAAACATATGGAGTATCATTCATTCGAAAAAGTTCATTTTGTGTATTAGTTTTGATGTTGGGCCTCCCTCTTTATTCAAATTTATTTTTCATAAAATGATAACTTTTATTTTCAAACCTTATATGAGATGATCTTAGTACTCACTGGGTAAATAATTAGCCAAATCTATTCTGACTCTAGAATCGGATATATGCGTATATATTTATGATGAGTAGAAGACAAAAGTAAGAGTCCACAGAAATCTTTGGTGAAGAGATCGAAGAGAAAATTGCAGAAAATTAATGTACTAAGAATGAGTTAAAAATCAATGAGATTTCATGGTTTTAAAGTCCATAAGAATAGATGGAAGGTTGAATAGGCCTAGACCATTAATTTTAGGAATTTTAAAAGTCTACATTGAACACATCTAAACTTTTTTAGAAACTTTTAAAAGTCTTTTTGAATGCACCTAGCTAAACTTTTATAATCCACGGAATTTTAACATTTTTCCACTAAATCTTTATACATTATACCCTATCAATTACAGATGAACCGATTAAATGGTTACAAGCTCGGGGTAGTCTAGGCATGGCAACAGGCAATCACATGTGCTCAGCGGTTATTAATAGTAAAATGAAAAATGATGCTTGTACATAGTATAAAAACCAAAAACTTTCCCATCCCCCTCCCTTCTCTCTTCCCTCTCTCTCCCTTCCCTCTATGCCCAGCCCCTTCGATTATGCAAAAAAAGGGGATGATCTTCTTCTCTTCTTCATCCTCCTCCTCTTTTCCACCCTCTTATTCTCTATCTTTTCATATCCAATTTTTTGCATTACTTTCACAAAATCAGTTTATTCATCTTTTTTCATCTATTTTTATTATCTTTCCATTTTTTCAAAATTACATGTAAATTGATCACATACAATTACATCATTCATTTGGACGTATATAGACCATTAAATTCACCCTGAAAATTAAAATTGGTCTCACAGACAACTAAAATAGATCACACAGACAACTACTATTTGTGTGTCGCACAACTATTGCCTGTGTGGTAAATATGTTTTGTGCACACAAGGAAATAATTGTCTGTGTAAATGCAAATATTGTCTATGCACACAGACATAACACACATAAAGATTGGTTTGCACGCGAGTGTCAGTGTCAGGCGGCTGTTAGTGTACATTTTGACACGAAAACTAATGTCTGTAGACACATACAAGAGTTATGCTCACAGATAACTTCGTACCGAAAAAAAATCACAATGGTGAAAAAAATGGGTTATTTACAAAACTGTCACCGTCATTTTGGCCGAATTTGGTCAAAATCACAATGGTGAAAAAGTGCAACGGAAACAAGCAAAAGTGCAAGCGAAACATGAAAGAGTGCAAATTTCGCACTTTGCACGGGAAGACCACTTTTTATTTAAAATCTTCCCTATATATATTAAATGCATATATATATATATATATATATATATATATATATATATATATAATATATATATATATATAATTTTTTTTTTAGCTCAACACATCCAAATTCAATACCTTGTTTTGTAAAAAAGAATTCTAGTTATGTAAAACCACAAGACAACATATTAAAGATTATAACTTGTGGTCGTGGTGGGTGGGATCACTTGGCCATCATAACCTTAACGAACTCCTCATAGTTGATCTGACCACCGCCATCAACATCGGCCTCTCTTATCATCTCATCAACTTCTTCGTCAGTTAGCTTCTCACCAAGGTTTGTCATCACATGACGAAGCTCGGCAGCAGAGATGAAACCGTTCTAGTCCTTATCGAACACTCTAAAAGCCTCTTTCAGCTCCTCTTCAGAGTCAGTGTCCTTCATCTTCCTGGCCATCAGATTTAGAAACTCTGGGAAATCAATGGTCCCATTGCCATCAGCATCTACCTCATTTATCATGTCATGTAGCTCAGCTTCTGTTGGATTCTGCCCCAATGATCTCATCATTGTCCCAAGCTCTTTGGTAGTGATGCAACCATCGCCATCTTTGTCGAATAGGCTGAAGGCTTCCTTAAACTCCGCGATCTGATCGTCGGTCAACTGATCCGCCATGTCTGAGTTTTGTCGTCGTCGTCGATAGGGTGTGGGAGGAAGAAGGTCAAGAATGAGAGAGAGGCTATTTATTTATTTATTTATTCGTAATAAATAATCATCACCCTTAAATGCATATATATATGTACACACACACACAGAGACACATATATGAGTAGTGTTCCTATCAGGACCTCCAAAAACGGATGTCCGGACGGACCTCGGCGTTTGGGCCCCTTTCCGGTGGAATTTTTTGATGAAATATTTTGAGCATATTCTTCATCTGTAATTGAAATATAAGTTTTATACATTATACCCTGTCACTGCTTTATACATTATACTTACCCTTTCAAATGGAACTTTCAAAAAATATATCATCTTGATGACAATTTTGAAAACAAAATTTGATATTTGAAAAGATAAAAATGACATCTTCATGACATTTTTAGAGAAATGTGAATTTTTTTAAAAACTCCAAGCGCTCTTAAAAATTCCGGATTCATCATAGTGTTCATGTCACTGCTTTATACATTATACCCTTTCAAATGGAACTTTCAAAGAATGTATCATCTTGATGACAGTTTTGAAAACAAAATTTGATATTTCAAAAGATAAAAATGACATCTTCATGACATTTTTAGAGAAATGTGAAATTTTTTTATAATATGATATGACTTTTTTTAATGATTAGGGGTGACACTACTGAGAGATGGAAGATGAGGCGACAGAAACTTAAAAAAAAATTCTTAAATTCTAATTTTAATTTTATATTTTATTCTATGTTATTTTTAGTTTTATTTTACTTTTTACGTTATTTTTATAAATTTATAATTTTTCATTTTTTATATTTATATTAAAAATAAAACTAGATTTTCTCATAAAATAAGGAGTACGTCTTATTGGGGGTTTAGGAAATTAAGTGGGTAAAATAGGAAGAGGGATAATAAATAAATCCTATTTTAGAAATAAAAAATGATCATGTTGTTGCATTTAGGAGCAATTTCACTCCTCTTTATGATTAATGCCTGATATTTACATCCGCGGTTCCATCATAAATGTCTCTTTTTCTTAACATGGTATTAATGTCAAATTCAATTGTGATTTGATGGTATTTTATCACTCATAATTAAGGGTAATTTGTTAAAAAAAATTGTGATTTGATTGTATTTTATAACGCACAATCAAACATCAACAAACTTTGGCTTCAAAATATTGCTCTACATACTTCCTACGGACTCCGCAGTATATTTTAGGGAGTAACAATATACTCCTACGGGTAATTTAAGGTTGTTTGAGACAGTGTGGTATAAGTTTTAGATTCAATCGATGACAATGATACTGTGAGAATTTCATCCAATTCAATATGATGACTCTTTATAATGGGCATTAGGACTTGAATCACCTCACTACGAAATCTTTTGAAATAATATCATAATTTACTCTTTCATCATTTTGTCGGATTGAAATATAAGAGCGCTTGGAGTAATAATGATCGCATAATAATGATTGCAAGCAGTGAACCACACGGGGGAAGATGCATGGAAAGGGGAGGAACGGACACGCCGCCTAAAGTACATTTACTCACCGTCGTGGTAATTTTTTAAAGTAATTCTGAATATATAACCAAAATAGAATTAATAGACAAAAATGTGATTCTAGTAAATTAGTGACTATAATTTAATTCAAATGTTATATTGACTACAAAACTTACTAATACTAGTAGTAAATTGTAGTCATGTTTTTATCAATAAATTTCTTTTTAATACGGAGTAATATTTTAAGGAAAACCTCATTTTTAATGGACAGTTGTGGTAATTATATACTCCGTATATTTGTTTCAAGCATTCAACCATATTAGAAATTCCAATTATTTGTACTCACAAAGTCGCATATTACCTATTTTTGCTGGTAAACTCCTTCAACTTGCAGAGCTTTGTTATCGGCTTTGGTGCAATGATTTTTGCGACGTTCTCAACTGGCGTCGATTCGAAAAGCTTTCAGGTCCATTTCTATTTGTAATGCTCAATTCGAAACCAATGGAATGAAATACGATACTAAAAGTATATTTTCAACAATGGAACCAGAAAAATTTAGTTTAAACGAATCCATTCAAAAGTCAAAATATTATATTATGAGTACCGAAAAGTTTAATTTTAAGGAGCCACACAAATAGGTGTTCATGTTTTAATTTAAGAAATTGCTCTAAAAAGACAATGGGACGTTTGGAATATGACGTTTCAGTCAAAAAATGACGGTTTAATCCCTTTTAACGTTTTCAATAAGTGAAAATGTTGTTTAGTAAATAGTTGTTCGGCCTTAGCGTTTTTGGACGGAACAACTGAAATGTAAACGTTGTAAATAGTATTCCCTCCGACCTCCGTCCCAAAAAATACTTTCCGATTTGACTTGACACGCTTATTAAAAGTGGAAATAAAGTTAAAATGTATGATTGTGGTTGAGTAAGAAAAAGGTAAATACATGTGAGCCACACAAAACTTTCCAAAAGGAAATTGGAAGAATTTTTTGAGACATCTCAAAATGGTAAGTGAGAAGAAATTTGTGGGACAAAAGGAATAGCATTTTGGGTTAGTTTTTTGAAATATGGTGTTTTCTACTAATTACCAAACATATTTTGGCAACCCGATAAATTATTCCGCTATCCAAATTTGCTTATTGAATCCGCTATTGACAACATGCTAACACAATCCACTAACCGCTACTTGTCAAACACGCCTAAAAACATAGACCAAGTCAATAAATAAGAGTTCTTATGTTTTATTTTAAAATATGACTTGCTTGATTTTATTAAAAGTATAAAATTTCTCGAATTAGGACTTTAAGAGTAAATGTGTCATATTTTAAGAAGAAAACCTTAGGACCTTCGTGAACTTTTTTTCTACTTTAGTGATATCTGAGAAACTTTCTCTTTCAATTTCCATAAATAGGAGTATAACATATTTTAACAAGACAAAAGTACAAACAGAACTTTTTGTGTGATAAATTTTGCCTGTGCATACAGACAAATACTTTGTAGTTGTCTATGCAACAGGAAAATATTGTTTGTGCACACAGGCACTGCACAAATATAGATTGATTTGCAAGCTCGTGTCAGTGTCGTCAAGTGGATGTCAGTGTACTTTTTTACACGTAAATTAATGTCTATGGACAACGACAAAAGTTGTCTATGTATACAGAAAATTCTTTTCTGTGGTCACAGGCAACTCCGTAACAATTGCGTGTGATCAACATTTTGTGTACATGTTGTATACAACTTGTGTACCCCTAGTATTTCTCATTTTTTAGGGTCATCTCTTACTCCGCCATTATTTATTTGAAAAAAAGTAGTTTCAAATTCTTCTTTTGGTTTTCCGAAAAATCTGCTTTTGGAAACAGGTTGTTTAGGATAAAATAATGATCCACCTATTGAATTGATTTATTTTGCTGAAATTGATGAAATTCTGGCCGAAGAGGTTTTTCAATTGATTGAATCTCCCGATTGTGAAAATGTTATATTCAAAATATATTTTATTAATAAAATAAATAAATAAAATTATATGAAATATAGCTAAAATGATCATCTATGATAACTTCACCAATTGAGCCAGAAAAGTAATTTTAACTTTATTCATTTTGATCATTAGACAAATCAGCATGCAAAATAAAAAATTGCGGGTTTGTTCAGAAAGTACTTGCAAGGGAAGTGTCGAGAGTGTCTCGATAGATGGGTGGCGGATTGACAAACGCGTCTCTTCAGACAGATGACGAGTCGATAGGCACTTCTCGTCTCGGCCCAAGGAAAAGGAGGAAGTTCTTTCAAAATTCCGAAAAATAACTTATGGAAATGTGCATCGATACACCTCAACTTCTCGAAAGGGAAAAATTCTTGAGCCAACAATCATTAATTTAGAATAAAGTCATTCGGCCCCAGGAAAAGGAGGAAGTCTAGTAGTCCAGTAAGGAGTTTGAGCAACATACATCAGATAAGGATGGGAGACTCATTAAAAGAAAACGAAGATAAATCTCAATAACAACTCCCCTAAGGTGGTGAGGTAGTGGCTATGTTGCACCGATACTTCACCTCGATGCCGTATCCGCGTATCCGATACGTATCCGTATCCGATACTCACCGATACGCGTCCTGTACGTATTGGGTCCGTATCCGTAATTTAATAAAAGTATCAGGCTTAATTTTAAAAATACCGATACTTCCGATACCCATATCCGTGAACCGATACGCGTATCTGAACCTATAATCCCTCATTTGATACACGACACGATAAAAATTTAGTAGCCGCCCAAGCGACCACAACATGTGGAACATTGATAAAGATGGTTTCGGGAGTATGGAAAATAATGGAATACTACAATTTGTCATTTCATTGCTTGATGAGCTTTAATTGAAACAAGTCTTGGATGTAAATGCAAACAGAGAACAAAAAAATGTTATTTGAATTTAAATCAAAATATCAATACTTTAATTTGTTAGACTAATCTTTGAAACTTTATTATAATAGTTAATTTTTTGTACTATTATTATTTTATTTATGAACCCCTGAATTATATATATTTGCAAAGTATACCCTATATTTTTATTATTTATAAATATACCCCCGTACCCGTATCCTATAATTTTTGAAAGTGCCATATCGCCGTACCCGTATCCGCGTATCCGCGTATCGGCGTATCCGTATCCGTGCAACACTGGGTAGTGGAGCTATTTAACTATGTCCCACCTATATTGGTGGAGTGGTGGAGTATGTTAACTGCGAGAACAACTAAGTCTCCAAGATAGATTATAAACGCTTGGCCCAGATGATTTTGTATATATTATTGGCCCAAATAATCTTTGTATATTAATAATTGTTGACATCCTATGTAGCAGCCAACTACTCCTATTCCAGTTACCAAGCTTAGTTTTACCTGATCTGCTTCTCCCGTTTGAATTTAAACTTTGCTCATTATTGAGCAAATAATTGAGGTGTGTGAATGTGTGCCCCTGCATATTTGTTCGTCCAGCTTCAAGCTAATAAGCCAATACTTCCCTTTGTATTATTGAGACAGTCTTGTACTCATTTTCATGTGCCAGTGTTTTTAATCTGACATCATTCTTTCCTCTGGTTGTATATATCAAGAATCTTTGTGAAGCCTTTGAGAGGTAGAGAAAATCGCTTATTTGTGAAGCTAAGAAAGTGTGTGAAGGACGTACAATAGGTTGTAGCTCCATTAGATTAGGTGTGCACAAGAAAGACAATCGGAATTCGAAGTGCCTGAGCCAAACCAGTCGCCGGAATAGATACTCAACAGTGGTATGAGAGACTAGAGTTGTTGTCATCGTCGATTTCGCCGAATTCTGCCATCTGGAGCTACGCCACCGCATAACGACGTCGATTGGAGGTCGTCGGTCATCTCCTGTCCATTTGACGTCGGTTTCTGCTAGAATCGTTGGATGTGGCTGGGGATCCGGAGCTTCTGCCTTGCTTGAAATCAAGGCAGGGTGTCTGGCTCTTCCCGACTGCTCGATCGGAAATTCGAAGGTTGAAGATCTTGGGCTCCACCCTTTCGCCGATTTTGAGGTCGTCCTCGTCACTTCCCTAGCATCGGATGCCGCAAGGCACTCTGCCTTATGGTAAAGGATCCTGATCCCGTGGCTGGAGGCTGAGCTTATGACTCACCACTGTCGTTTAATTGAGATGAAGTCGCTTCACTGAACACGCGTAAAAGGAACGGAGTTGAACTTTGTGCTGGTTGTTGCCTTGTTGGGCTGCAACTTTTCTTCAACAGGTCACTGCTAGTGTTCAAAAGTGTTGGACGAGAGGAATTCAGTCTAAGCCTTGCTTCAGAGACTTGAAGCAAGGAAGAGTTGTAGAGGCTGGTCAACTCCCGTCAAAATCAGACAAAGTAAATCAAATTTCGGAAATCCAAATTTTTAAATTGGGTAGGTAAGGTCAAAATGTCTCTCGGAGGGTTACGCTCCGGTAAATTAGCTTGAAACACCTTCTTATCGCTTTTGTAGTGATTCCAGACTTTTACTTTTACTGTGTTTAGAAATCTGGTGACTCTGGTTTTAGGTTTATTACTATTTTTGAAAATCTGGTGATTCTGGTATTGTGTTTGTTGTGTTGTTTTGTGCTGAAAATTTATTATTTATTTGTGCTTATACGAAAGAATAAGGGGTTTGAACCTGAGTTTTCTACTCATTAATACTCATGTGTTTGTGCTAGTTGCTTCATATATTTGTAGCCTTATGAATATTTGAATTGTTTTCAGCGAAATTTACATTTTTCCCTTGTGGCTTGTTTTCTTTGTGACAATGTCTGCTTATAATTTAATTCAACAAAAATGTTTTAAAGCAATTAGTGAAGCCTATTTAATTTCTGATACAGATGATAAAAAGGGTTGAAATTATTGAAAATGTTTGTTTTGTGATTTATTTGAACATGTCTGATGTTGTGCTTAGAAAATTTGGAATTTTAGGGAATGCTAAAAATATGTAGGATAAATTAGATGAACTCTATACTAATACCTTTTTTACTAGCCAGATGTTTTTACTTGAAAAGTTTTTCAAATTCAGACTGAATATGTCTAGGGATATTGATGACAATCTTGAGTTTTTTACCAAAATTATTTCTGATATTAAGTTGTGTGGTGATAAGAACATATATGATTATACTCTTATTGCTCTTTTAAATGCTATCATTGATTCCTTTAGTGATGTGAAATCTGCTATAAAGTATGACAAAGATAATGTGACTCTTGACATTGTGTTTAATGGTCTTAAGAGTAAGGAATTAGATTTAAGACAAAAAGGTCATGGTAGAAACTCTGAGGAATATATGCATGTGAGGGGTATATATAATAGTAGACGACATAGATCTCAGTCTAGGTCTAATTCGAGGCGTTGATATTATTGCCATGAACCTGGTCATTTCATAAAAGACAATCCTAAATCTAGGGAAAATAAGTATAATGAGCATGCTAATTTGACTACGAGTGAAGATAAT